CCATGGACTCTCGTCACGGAGAGATATCTAGGTAATTAATATTGATTCATTCTCAAATTCTGATTTGTGACTTTTATTTTAACAAATCAAAAATGGACTACGAAAAGTAATTAAAACTTGAATAATATGAGAAAATACAATTTCTTTTTATTTCTTATAGGAGAATTTAAAACATCTTTTGGGTCATAGATTTAGTTTGCAATTTGGAATGTGGTCCACAATTTTGAATATATTTTTGTATGAAAGCTTTTTGTGAAATATCTGCGAAGTAGCCTCGAGCCTCTTGTCATATCTCATCTCCCCATTTTCTTATCAGAGCCATGCGGAACAGAGGGGTAGAGATTTGTATACCAACGCCCCAATCTACTCTCCCATCAAATCCACTGGACGTCGCGTCCCTGCTAAACATTTGCGGGATCAGGGACATAAAACAGCAGAAATTGCTAGTGAGAATACACGAGACTCTTCACGGTACGCAATACAAGTTGAACGAGATGTTGCAAGTGGCTACGTTCATCAGTCAGCAAATGTCGAAAGGCTTCGGTTTCTTGAAATCGTTGAGAAACGCATTTCACGAATTATGTGGATCGCTCGATGACAGATCGAAAAAAGAAGCACTGAGGAAGATGGAGGAGATCCTCTTAGATAATTTCCAAGAAGAATTGCAAATGGAATCGTCGTACGATCTCGATTCAATTACTTTAAGGATGTCCGACCTTAGATGCAATTCCAGGCTCGCATTGATCAGGCAACAAGGCTTCCTGTTACAGTCTACAGTTCAGAAACTGACGTGAGTAAAATGAAATATTAAACAACTTCTGGGCATGACCTAATTTATGTTCAGGTAAACCAGCTTCTCTATTTTACATGTGATCATAAATCAGTGAGTAGAAATTATTACCTTAACAGAAATTGGGACGTTCAATATTCATAGGAAAGTAATTTCGGTTTTTATAACGTTATGTATTCGTGAAAACTGTAAATACTTTCGTGTCAATTTTCAATATAATGTATTGGGTTGGCAACTGAATAATTGCGGAGTTTGTCGATAGACTTCTTATTTAAAATCAGCAATCACTTAGTTGGCAACCCAATAGATGTTATTATAAGCACCAATTCTTGTGTACATGAAT